AGAGGGCTGGCAAGCCCCAACGTACCTTTCCCATCCCCTGACAGCCACGGAGCCCCTGCTCCTGCAGGTGTGAGGATGAGGGAGATTGCACCCGCAGGGAAATGGGAGCGGGCACCAAGGCAAGACTGGGATGGAAGGTGACCAGGAATGGAGCTGGGAATGGACAGAGACAGGAATGGGGAGGGGAATGGACTAGGATGGCTGCAGTGGGCCTGACATGGGGCAGGAGGGACTAAGGGAGGTGCAGGATGAGAAGGAGAGTGGGTAACAGAGGCAGGTGGGGGGCAGACTTCGTGGGGAGCCTCTCCAGGGTGGGAGGGATCAAGGCCCCAGAGTCTCGCTCTCCTTCTCCTTCCCCCAGGGAGATGCTATTTCTCCCCATCACTCTTGATAACAACCCTGCCCATTTTATCAGGGCCAAGGTCTCTGTGCCCGGCCCAGGCTGGGTAGCTGCATGCCTGAGAGGTGAGGGGTTAGCAGGGAGGGCCCTGAGGGCTAGGGAGCTGCCTGGGGGCCTCTGGCCAGACACAGGGTGAGCCCGGCTGAGGAGCCCACACGTGTGTGTCGGGGAGGGGGTGGGCAGAGAAAAGCTCTGGCAGAGCTCATGCTGCCGGCACAGGCTGCTGCAATAACCACTGCTCAGCTGTGGGTACAGCCATCCCCTCTCCTCACAGCCAGGGCTCTGCTCTGCAGCTGCCCAGCCCTGCTGCCTGGGGCCCATCCATTCTGCAGGGCATTGCTCTCACTCCGGCACTGAACGCTCAGACCAGCTGGCAGAGGCTCCAGGGAGGCAGGTCAGAGCTGACTCTCCCAAGCCATACCTCAGACAGGACCCTTTTGTGGAGGGCACCCCTTCCTCCCCCAAGCTTGGTGCACTGTGTAACACAGAGCCCGGAGCCAACCCCCCTCCCAGAGACAGGCAGGGCACCTGGCAGTGCTTTCTCCTTTGCCGCAGCAAAATCCAGTCCAGCTCAGCCCTGCCCTGCCCCCTGGCGCAAGCGCTGAGATGGGGGAGCCCAGCAGACACCCTCTGGTTCCAGAGGCCCCAGGTAGGATCGGGTCTCGGCCCCGACACACACCCTGCCCCCAAGATCTTAGCAGCAGATTTACAAGCACCCAGCCTGAAGCTCCCCCCGGCGCTGGCCACTGGAGCACACACTGTACCCAGAGCCCCAGACCTGCCCCTCTGGCACCAACGGGCGGGTTCTTCCCACCATCACGTCCACAAACCACACCGATTCAGTGCATCTCCTGGCACTGTAGGAGGAAATGATGCAACCTGCGGAGAGTAATCCCTCCCCAGGACGCTGCCTGTGCAGATCCCTCGAGTTCTAGTACAACCCTATAAAACTAAACCACATGCCACAGCTTCCCCTGAGTCACCCCAGCCCTGATGCAAGTAGCACTTCCAACCAGCAGCATGTGCTCGGAGGCAAGAGGCAGGATGCAGAGACCCTGGAGCTGCAGCCTAGTCCAGCCACAGAGCTGGGTGTGGACGTGGTGCTCACAGCTCAGCACAAGGTGTCTAACAGGGTGATGGAAGGCAACACAGGGACCAGATGGGAGCAAGGGGGGTGCAGTGGAGGGTCGGCGGGGGGTGAGATGAGGTGGGGGTGACATGGGGTGATGAGGTGAGGATGACAAAGAGGTGAGGAAGGGGGGTGATACTGGAGTGAGACAGCGACACTGCACAGCACCCTGCAGCACCCTGCCCAGGACCCACTACTCTGGGCCCACTGCTCAGTCTGTCTAGGCTCTCCAACTGCACTCACTGCTGTGTTCTCAATGCCCGCCTGGCTCTCACCCCTCGAAAGCTGCTGCACTCTCTGAGCTCCCAGGAACCCTCTGTACATGGACAACACAACTGCAGCCTCACTCCTGTATCGACACCCCCTGGGAACTTCCAGCATGGAAACATGACAGCACCCCCAGCTATATTACAGCACCGTGCCCCCTGCAGCACTGACACCTCTGCATCCCCACTCCCTGGGCTCAGCACAGCCCTCTCAGCACCTGACCGGTAGAGCAAATACCCTTACCCACAGCCAGGAAACATGCAGGACAAGCCCAGCACCTAGAATGCAAACATACACTGGGCAGCCAGGGAGAACGAATCCAAAACAGCCCCAGCCCCAGATCCCTGCACAGAACAATCACACTGGTACAGACATCACTGCAGCGACATGTGCAGAAATAGACAAACCCTCACCAAATACAGACTCAGTGACCATAAACCAGGGGTGGGGACCAGGCGGCATAAAGCATAGGCCAAACTCACAGAGCAATGACTGTCCGGGGGGAGGGATAGCTCAGTGGTTTGAGTATTGGCCTGCTAAACCCAGAGTTGTGACTTCAATCCTTGAGGGGGCCATTTAGGGACCTGTGTCAAACATCTGTCTGGGGATTGGTCCTGCTTTGAGCAGGGGGTGGGACTAGAAGACCTCCTGAGGTCCCTTCCAACCCTGATATTCTATGATTCTATGACAGAGAAGAGAGAGAAAGAGAAACATTCTAGTCCAATGTCCCACAGCAATGGAACAAATGGAAGTTGGACTCCAACTATCAGGAATCCTAAGCAATATCTTACCAGAGTGAAGAACTGCTGGAGATGGAAAGAAACAGCCCCACATTATGGAACCACCTGCCCTGGGGCAGGGATGGGCAGGAACAACAAATGGACCCAGGGGCTCAAACCCCAAAGACATGAAGCCCTGACCAGGGTGAATCATAGCCCCACCTCTGACAGAGACTGCAATGGGCTGTTACTTTCCAGCACTTGTCAGGCCAGTCATGACAATCAAGTCTTACTGAACAGAAGTGTGTGACAGTCCCTGAGAGCCTCCTTCACTGAGACATGACCACATCCCTTCCACTGTATCACACCCTCCAGGCCTTGCACTGAGATGTGGCTGAATTTATTCCTCCAGCAGAACAGAGTGCGACTGATGCTGTTTGGAACATCACTGCACGTTTCTCTCCCGCTCCCCGGGTGCCTCATTGATTTCTCAGGTGATTCAAGCAGGTTCTGTGATAGCCCAGCACTGCAGTAGGGGGCCTTAGATGTGAGTGTGAAGTGGCACCTGGTGGTAGCACTGCTCTGACCCTATTAGGGCAGTATGTCTGAGCACGCTCACCACCAACAGACCAACACTACAGATGAAACGCACCATAAACCCGCTCAGCATTGGAATATCCATGCAGCTGTTTCAGGTCCATCCCCATATGCCTCCCCTCCCCCCAGCACCTTATTGCCCATGTGGCTGTGCCATAAATCTTGACAACCTCGCTGTCCAGGCTGCTGTGCCAGGCCACCCCCGTCTGAGTTGCTGACCGTACCAGTCACATGCCATCGCTTT